TGGGGGGTGTTGGGGCGCTTGTGAGAAAATCCGTTCAGAGCAGTTTTCCTGGCATTGCCATCGAGATACACGCACTGGAGAGAGATTCCGGCCCCGCAGTTTCCGAATACAGCCGTCGAGTTTCCGAATATGAGTTTCCGAATACAACCGTGGAGTTTCCGAATACAACCGTCTCAGTTTCCGAATACCAGTTTCCGAATACAACCGTGTAGTTTCCGAATACTAGTTTCCAAATACAACCGTGCAGTTTCCGAATACCACCCTTCCAGTTTCCGAATACAACCGCCCCAGTTTCCGAATACCAGTTTCCGAATACAACCGCGCAGTTTCCGAATCCCAGTTTCCGAATACAACCGTTCCAGTTTCCGAATACAACCGCCGAGTTTCCGAATACAACCGTGGAGTTTCCGAATACAACCGCCGAGTTTCCGAATACAACCGTCCAGTTTCCGAATACAACCGTGACCCAACATCACCCCAAGACCGCCCCACATAGCCCAAAGATGTGTTCGACCTGGCCACAAAGACCGCAACCACAACCAGAACCACCGCAAGAACAAGAACAAGAACAACAACAGCAACAGCAGCAGCAGCAGCACCAGCACCAGCACCAGCACCAGCAGCAACAACAGCAACAACAACAACAATCCATCCTATACAGTACATGACCTTCCTCCCTCTCCTGCGTCGGCTGGCGCCCGGCTGTCAGGCGTAAGCCTTTACTTCTTTCGCAAGGATGCATTTTGCTCATTTGACCGGACTTCTTGAAAAGACACCATCCAAAAGAACAGCGCCGGAAGGGCGTCGGGTGTGGGGATGTGTAGGGCATAGGATGAATAAGGGTTGGTGGCTCAGACAGATGATTGCATATGGCCAAGGCAAGCCTTCCATGAGATCGAAACAGCCACCGGCCACTTGTTGAATGCACAAGACCTGGCGGCCGCTATGGAAGAAGACAAACTTAGCGCCTCAGATGTGACGCAGGTCTTTCCTAAACCCTTTGGGGTTGAAGGCTAAGCATTTTTTGGGGTGGGTCTGAAGTTTTAGATTGCCGATTGCCTATGATTGCCTTTTTTCTCGGAGGATTTTAGCGGGATTGGAGCATAATTAAGCTCCACAAACAGATTTCTTGCTTTGCTTCAAGTTTGCAGGTCGCCTCTTTTTCGTTGTTCACCAAGAAAACGAGAAAACCTCTTTGGAACTGATCAGCCCACGTGGATGTGGATCAAAACCTGGTGAGACACTGTAGCTGCTAGGTGCCTTTATGGAGTCTCTGGGTATTTCCACGGATGACGTGTGGACCTTGTTCTTGCTGATCGACAAGGATGATGATGGGCTGGTGGATATCGAGCAGTCACTGAGGCTGATAGAAGTGGACCAAAGTGGATCAGTGATGGGCACTTTTAGATCTTTTAGGGTTCAGGTTGATGGTGTCTTGATGTGTCGCACATGTTTGCACGTGCCACTTGGCCACCAAGGTTTGTTGCCGGCTGCATGCACCTTAGTCGTGTTACAGAGCTGCTATGTTGGGCCCAGCTGTGGGATAGGTACGTTTGTGAAGCACCAAACATCCCATTGCAATCCCTCAGGAACAGAGCATCCCTGGTTTTTTGGTAGTGCACATTCCAATCTTTGCTGTTCCGTTGGGAGAATCCCCGCCCGCCGTAGACAGATGTTTGTGTTTTTTCGAGCTCTCTTTGCCACTGCAAGAACCTCCCGCCCTCAGAACCCGAGGCAGCTCCGGGGACCGGCGAAGAGTTTGCAGGTCGCCAAGATGAGCTACGAGAATCGCATCACCCGAGCCTCGAAGTCCGTCGCCTCGAAGTTGAACCGGATCATGCATGATCGGGTTTTGTTTTTTTGGGTTGAGAAGCGGAGAGAAGATATGGAAGACTGCAGGTCTTCTAAACATGTGTATATGTACATAGCATGTGCACATATAATAATTAATAACCAGTTGTTGTATATTATATGTATAGGTTGTTTGGTCGGAGATTTGCCAAAAAAGAACATTGTGCTGGGTGCTCCAATTATGACAGTGGTCGGGGCTGGTGTCGCCAACTTTGGTTAGGCCGTCCGAAAGAGAAGTCAGATCAAACCATTTTGCTATGCTTCACAGACCAACCGACGCCACGTTTTGCAAACGACGACGCGCCGCAGACGAGGAGAACAGATCAAGAGGATTGTTGATGACATGGATGAACTGAAAGCAGATGTGGCCAAGCTGGTTGAGGCGAGAGAGAGAAAGCTGGCTTCTGTCCTTGGTCCACAAGCAGTTTCGGAAGCCCTGTGAGTTTGCCAAGTTGTTCCTGTACATAAAGTCAATGCGTCCAAGACGCCAAGATCATTTTCAGCTTTTGAGTCCTGGTGGCCAGTGCCGAGCAACAGAAACAGCATAGCAACTGCAACCACCTTTGAAGGCAGACGTCCCTGTAGTAGTCTTTAAGGATTTGGGCTCCCACTGGTTTCCAGCCCAAGGCCCGAAGCGTTGTTTCACACGTTCGCTTCCGACGAATGCACCGCAGGACACAGGGAACGGAGGAATGGTGAAAAATCCGCCAAATACCGGAACTCGCGTTGAGCATGCAAACTCGTGCGTTTTGATCAGTGTTTTTTCATGGTTCTTGCTGTGCCTTCTGTTTGGCAAGCTGGACATTGAAGAGCTTCAGACAAGATGGCTTGGAAATCATAAGTGCCATTCACTTAGCCTGACTTCCAAACCACACAGTGAAGTCAAAGCGGAAATATCTCCCCCACCCAATGGTTGGAACCCAACTTGACACAGCACCTCGCCTACAGATGAGACACCGTCATCCAAATGGACTGTGACACCACGCCATTTGTTTCTTCTCCCGAAACCTGGGATCCAAACGGGACTGTAGCTGCTGTAGCCCCTGCATATTCCGTGCTTGGCCATGGCGGATGGTGATGAGATCGGCTCTTCTCAGCTGCACCGCAGGTTGAAGGCGGCTGCCGCTGCTGCTGTTGAAAAAACATTGAACAACTCATAAAGGACACTTTTTGATATTACTATTTGTTCATGTTGATGTCGATGGCGATGCAACGATCCCCAGTTGTCACATAATACTAATACTACCTCCCACCCACAGTTTCCGAAGACACGCTGATTCTGAGAGATCTCTGACGGCATGCTGGTGAGCGCCATGCATCAGACCCATCGCGTGACAGAGTTCCACCGCCAGGCTGACTTCGATGAAGTCCTGCGCAACAGCATGCAGAGGCGCCTGAAGAACCTCAGAGATGAGGTTGAAGCCTTATGCAACACTTTGCATCAGGCCGAAGCCATCCCCAACGGCCACTTGGTCATCAAACCTTTAGGACAGCAAACCCAGTGCATAATTGGGGTTGAAAAAGCCCAAGGTCGCAGGACTTCTCAACTTTTGCTTGCCCAACCCTGTTGGGCTGGTTGTTCTACGTAGTACGTAGGGGTGTTTCCATCATTTTCCATCATCTTCCATCCGTCCCAGACAGGATGTCCTTCTCCTGGCCTTCTCCAAGAAAGCACCGTGAGGCACTGCCCCGGACGCGGCGTCGCCCGTGGACGTGGCGCCGCTCTGCCAGACGGTGGCCAAGGCGCTGCGGCGCGCCAAGCGCTGCGCCGAGGCGCCGCTGAAGATGTACGGCCCCTCGGAGAAGCAGAAGGGCCGTGCCGAGCCCCCTGAGAAGGATGAAGGCCGGTGGGGCGAGGGATGGTCCGGAGTGAAGGATGCAGTATAGAGTCAGGGAGTTGCGGTAATTGGTTAAGAGGACAGACTTTTCAGGATTTTTCAGGAGCGTTCAGATATGTTCAGAGTTGGATACTGGTGATGCCGAACCCTGGCCCTGGAGGTCTGGTCATGGAAGGGACTACCCTCCGCTCGACGCTGTCCAGCCTGGAGCAGTCCCTGGCCTCACGCAGCAAGCAGATTAGCCATCTACAGGAGCCTTTTGAAGCTGGGCGTGCGGAGTGTCGATGTCGCGTCTTCACCGCAGAGACTTCAAGAAAAGAAAGAAAGGTGTAGAAAGGTCTAAAGAAGAACCGAACAGAAAAGAAAGGAAGATGGAAAAGAACGGTCTAAAGATCTTTAAACAACAAGTGAAGGAACAAAAAACAAACATAACAAGATTTGACCAAACGGATGTTGTGGCTTGCTCTTAAAGCTGCTTAAAGGCTTGTGAAGTATTAGGCTTGTGCCTTGATTGCTCTCTTGGACTCCACTGCGGACACTGACACGTGCAGACGCTCAAACGGACAGGTTTTTGGTGCCAACGACCACCTCCAACAGTTGATCCAACCGGCTCCGCAGGATCAGCTGAAGGTGTGCGAGATGGCCCTGGAGGAGAAGAAGCTGCAAGCGGCAGAGAGTGAGTTGAAACTCGCGGAAATGCTCTCCAATCCCAACAAGCTCTTGGAGATTCTCAGTTCAAGTGGGAGGGTTTGGAAAACCCTCGGAGGGGATGCAAGACATCGAAAAATAACAGGGTGAAGGGTTAACGGTTATTGTTGGCCATTCTCTTGAATAAAAGGGGTCCTGGTGCGCTTCCATGATACTATGATGGTCTAAGGAGCTAAGGGAGGGCGGGTCATTGCCTCATGGCGCATTTTTGTGTGGCCTCGGTGCTCTTCGTAGTGCAGCTGTTGGGGAAAGTGATTTGTGACATCGCACCTCCCTGAGCTGATGAGGTTCTGGCAAGCTAGCCATGAGGTATCATGAGGTCTTAAGTCTCGGTTAAAACGCTTTTTGGATGTCCCTATTCTGTCAAATCCCTCAAGCGAGAACCTCTAGAAAGGCCACTGAGATGGCTGCCGGAGGAGCCTGTGGAAGAATGGTGCAAGTTGCATCAGTTCTTCGCCAAATGTTTGCTTGCATGTCCATGCTAGTTAGCGGAAAGGGAAGCCACGGACTCAGCTTTGCCATGAATCTGAATCTCCTGTGTGCTGCCTCGTGAGGATATGTAAGTTTCACCTCTCCAAAAGGAGGGAGAGAGTCGAGAAGATGGGTAAAGACACCATCCGACAGAAGGAGCAAGCGGCCTTCTATCAAGCGATTGCTGCTTGGCTGCATTTTGCTTGCCTCGTGATCCTCGTAGTCAGCTGCCCAGATGGATGGATGGTCCATGAAACCCGAAAATTGATACAGGGCTCCACTTGAGGATCATTATGAGAAGCATCCAACCAGAAGACATTTGCATACAGGCAACCCTAAACCAGACAACCCTGAGACTCTTCCTGTACATGGCCCTCATGATGCCCTCTAGAAGATACAACCAGCGGACAGATGCAGACAAAAAGACTGAACATGCCCGGATGCACCTATTGTGCTGGGTCATGATTGCTTTTTTGGTCTAGGGCCAGTCTAGTGAGTTTTCAAACTCCTCTCAAACTGCTTAGGCGGCTCTCCTTTGCCTCGAGCCAATGTACAGCCAACATGACCTTCCAAGCAAAGCTGACTTTTGCACGAATCAACTTCACTTTGCCCAGCTTTCTGGGCTAACAGCCGGCCCAACGGCCCACTTGGCAAAATTTCTGCATCAACTACACAACACGATACGTCATACAGTCACGTTTTTACGCCTTGGTCACCTTGGTCCTCACCCATCACCCACCCACAGGCTCGTCAGCAGAGGGCCTTCTACTTGCAGAGCGAGCGCATCGCCGCGCACGGCGGCCGACGCTCCATCGCGCGGCACCGCGCGGGCGAGATCGCGCTGGTGCATCAGCCGGCGACGCTCGCAACTTGGTGGCGTCTGCATAGAGACGAACGTGGACACGGATGGGAGAGTGACTGGAGCGATGTTGCAGGTGTGGTTGCTGAGGTGTTGAGTGTTGAAATGTGGAATCGGTACTCACATCTGCGACGTTATAAAGTTCATTTGCGTTCCGAGTATTGTTTCTTCCTCTTTTTTTTGGTCTTCCGTTCGTCAGGAGCCATGTTGCTTTCGTTTGAGAGGAGTTCGGGACGGGTGGCTCACAACCAAGCTGCAAGTTCTCTGAACTCCCAAACAAATCCACCGGCATGCGGGAAGTTGTGCCTTTTTGACGTGCAATGCATGAGAAACCCTTGGGACCCTTTTCCAAGCCTACATGCTATCATGTGTGCAACATCTTGCGGTCGGATTTCCAAACCTGAAAGGCTTATGTGTTGACATTTAACTATGCTGCCTGCCGCAAGCCATGAACATCATGGACATTGCCTTGCAAATCTAATCCTATGGGCTTGCAGGCATGCACCCTAGATGTCGAGAGGCATATGAGGCATCAACTTCAAAAACCTTCTGAAGTATTGGTGTGCACACGTGTACACTCATGCCATTCTGCAGCCCTCATGCCGCCGCCATTCTGGAGACCCAGGACGACGATGGTGCAGAGATGTTCGACGTGGGGACGGCCGTGGCGAATCCCTATGTGTGCCTTGGAGCATGGAGACGAAGACGATGAGCGTGGTAGAAGCTCACTTGCTGGCTGCTTCGAAGATGAGAAATGAAAACCCTGTATCTGACAGGTCTTCAGAACATTTCAGAAAAACATGATTTACATATTAGAAGAATGGATAGACTATGATAGACTTGACTTAAACATGTAATTTCAAATCATTTAACCAAAAATTCGTTGCCATTGAGCAACCCCGCTGCCCCCACACCGTCTTTGGGCCAGTTCTTCGCTCGCTCGGCGTGGTTCGCCTTCGCTCGTGGTTCGCTCAGATGCGATAGTTGGCCCTTCGAGCCCAACGTGCTGGCCAAGAGGACTCCTCAAGAATCCTCGATGCCCACCTTCGAGGCCCGAGTCTGGGATCCGGGATCAACAAGGGCGGAGAGCTTGGGTGTGAGGCAGGGGGGGAGCGTTTGATGTGCTGGTCAGGTTGGGGAAGATGTTTCTGGCATTTGTGGCAATCCGTTGGAATTAGGGAGTGAGAGAAAAAGGCCGAGACGTAGCTCAGAGTCACAGTGGAAGCTCCTCATTTGAAAGAGTTGATGTGATGTGTCGTTCTGATGTCGTGGTCAAAGGTGCTTGGTAGGGCCAGTCAAGAAAGAAGAAGTTGAACGTGGAGAGTTCTCTCTCCTCAGTCCATTTGGGTCCTTGAGATGGGCTGGGTCCTCAGGAGGAGACGGAAGAGGAGCTGAAAGAGGCAGAGCTGGGTTTGAGGACACCGCCACGGCGTGGCGCTCGTGGGCGTCCGAAATCGGGCGCTGGTGGGGCTGGTGGGACCCCTAAACCCATGGGGTACCGGGTGCCTGTGTGTTTTTTCTCAGTTGGAGTCGAAGGAGGAAGGGCGCAGCGTGGGGAGATTAAGACTTGAGGAGTGATTTGAGCAGGATGTTAAGTGATTATTTTTCTTCAAACAGCTGCATTCACAGGCTTGATTCTGGTGCCAGATGCTCAGCGGTGTTCCCTACACCGATTGCCGTGTTCCCTGCCTCACTGCACGAGGACCAATCCTTTCCGCACCGGTCGGCGATTCCCGGCTTCGGATGAGGATGATGATAGGTATCCTGGAACAGCCAGGAGCTTATAGATTGACCCACCTAGGCTGCATGGCATGCCTGGCATGCCAGGGGGCTAGCTTTTCGATTGCTTGGATGACAAAAGATCTGGATCCAAGTTAGCAGCGGTGCCAATGGTTGTTTGTGCTTCACCTGGGCAGGATCAAAGAGCCTTCCCGTCAACCAACTACATGTCTTCAGTGAACACAGTGAAGGGCAACTGCGCATCTAAGCCAGTACAAATGGTAGCCTTGGAGTTGTGGAACGAAATACGAACATTCCACGTCTCTTCCAACCCTTTTCAATGTGCACCGTTCAGTCTATGGGTTCTCAGACCTTGGGCGGGGTCTATCAGAGTCTATCACTGCTTGAGGGGGACGTGTTTTCCGTTTCCAATTGTGTGACGCCTTGGCACAGCTAAGCACCGCTAACTTGGATGAGTTAGATAATGAGTTCAATGCATACTTCACGCGCCCAAAGAATAAAGAGCTCGAAGATGCCTGATCAGACTACACGCCGTCCTCACTCATTTCGTTTTGTCAGTTTGGTCAACTAAAACGTGGCAGAAAGTGATGGGTTCTGAGTGCACTTCTCTTCTACGGCTGAGCTGCACGTACACGGTATTTGCCATGCATCGGAGCTTAGGGAAGGAGGCCAACCGGACCACCGTGTTCTCCTTCCAAGGAGTCCTGCTGATGGCCCGGGCCCCAGAGGTTCCCCAGATCGACCGGCCAAGCTTGTTCGGGGCTGGCACGGAGCGGCGGAGGGTCGTAGAAGATCGTTTCATAGCCGAAGCATTGGGACTGGGGCCTCAGTATCTCAACTTAAACGATGTGATCAGAGGTCTTTGCCAGAAATCGGACGTGTCGCACTTTCGATGTAGGCATCATCCTGTTTCTGTGACGAATCATTGCGCCCGTCGTGCCTGTCACGTGGTTGGCGACAGCTTTATGCAACTGCAGCGACCTACCTAGAGAAGGATGCAGGATGATAGGTGGCATTAGGTGGCGCATCTTCTTGACCTGTCACTGCTACCGGACGACCGTACGACCAGCCGCCTTCAGAACTTCAGGCAGGTCAGGGGCAAGTCACCGAGGAGGACGAGTCATTCTTGTCCGTTATGTTTTGCAGTGCTGCAGTTGTCAAGAAGGTTTGTTCTAAGCCGCCAGTGGGAGGGAATCTAAGCCCATAGATTTAAAGTATCGCATGGTCTCCGCTGGGCTGTGGCCGTGGTTGTTCGAATTAGCATTGTTCCGTGCCGCAGAGCATCTGAGAAAGCAAGCGTCAATCAAGCGCTCAGCCATTCCGTGCCTAGAAGACTTCCGGAGCTTTTGGCACAAGAACCCGAGGAAATTCAATGTTTCTCTCCTTTTGGTGCCCGTTGATTGTGATGGTGGGGGAAGTACTTCCGCGACTCTCCTCACCACCTACCAGGGCTTTTAGCTGATGACTCCTGTGACCAGGCCCGATGTGCGCAGATCATCGAGATCGGGCTTTACTTTTTTGGGAGCACGTGCTGAAAAAATCTCAGCATTCAGTGGCTGGCAGGCCGTTCCTTTCATTTCCTTTCTCCTCATCGCTGCCACCTACTTGGCCAATGTTTTTGGGAGAAGGAAGGAACCTGGAGAACTTGTGGTTCCTTGGAGAACTTGTGGTTCCTTACCACGGACCTTGGTTGAAGAATTGTTGATATGTACATCACATCTCAGAACCAAACAGTTTCACGGCTGATGCCTTTCGGCCTGAAGAATTGAGTCGCTGCAGAGCCATGGACCAGGTCCCTGGCCTACCCATTTCGGCAAGTCTTGCATATTAGTCAACAACATGGACCCCATTGGCCTTGGATTCCTTCATTGTTTGGGACGGCTGGGGGTTTGCGCCAGCACGCTTGCCTGGAGTCAAGAACCGGTTCTCGACTCCATGCAAGCGTGCTGACGCTAGCCCTCAAGAAGAAGGATTGCAGATGGGTGAGCTGATGACCATGCTGACCATGCCTTGGATCTTTGAACTTGCAGCTTCCCTTCATGATTCAGAGGTGCTCGAGCAGTCTTTAGCAGCTTTTGCATGTGACCTGTTTGTTGAGCTTCTTGGCCCTCGGTGACAGTCCGTAGCAGTAGCTGAAAACCAAACGGCCAAACAGAACAAGGCGCTTTTGTTGATGTTTTGTGCCACTTGGCCCAGAGTAAATCGTGGAGAGTGAGATCAAGTGGGCAGCCGCTGAGCAAGCGGCTGTTTTGGGCGGAAATGATCGATGCCAATCGAAGCGCACACCTCAATGCCAACTTGAGCTCCACATTAATTCATGTTTGACCCATCTCGACGTGGATTCTAGACTGTTTGCACCCTTTTGCACCTGGCAGCCTGGCAGCCACAAAGCCGGCTCCGCATGAGTACGCTGCACTTCGCCGGGACCTTCGCGTGGGCGATGGTGCACCGAATGCGGCGATGAAGCCTAGGTCTGCTAGGTCTCAGGCCTTGGGCCTTGGTCACAGGAAAGGGGATTTGTTTTGAGCCAACTGATCCAACATGCATTGCATATCGTTGCATCATGGCCTTCATCTTTGGCCATTCCAGGCAGCTTATACTGGTGTGTACGATCCAGATGGCCTGTCCAGGCGAATGTTTCAGCACACGTGGCCTTTTCAGTGGAGGCCTGTGTGGCGGTAGCATTCGGTGTCCTGCACTTTCTCGGCTTGTACGACTTGGTGAACTTTTAAGTATGTCCCTTACAATTCGCGTGTGATGGAAAGAAGTATCCACAGCTGAGGGCTAGCTTATGCTAGCGTAAATGTCTTTCCAGCACGTTTTGTTTGGTTTTACTCAGAGATACTCAGAGCCCCTCTCTTGTTGTCAGAGGCACCATCCGATCCTTCACTTGTTGAAGGGCCACAAGTTGCTGCTGCCACTTCAATTTTTGTTGCGAGTCAGCTAGTCACCTAGTCCAAGACTACTGATACTCTGCAAGGAGGGATGGGTTGCAATAGAATGGGCACATGTCACGGGGTGGCATCACAGGTCACGGTCACAGGGTGGCATCACAGGTTGAGCCACTTCGGTGCTTTGGTTTAAAAAACGGTTGCAGATCAGGCGTTGCCCTTCTAAATCCCTCCGGGCACGCGAAGCACCTAGACTTGCAGCCCATGAAGGAATGCAAGTGGCGTCAGCCGGTTGATTTACACTCCGACTCACTAACATGAAAGCGGACAATGGCCATGGTGAAGAACATTTTCCTCTAAAACAGGGTTTCCACATGCAATATCATGCAATGTGCTTTATGTGGTTGAATTTTAGGGAAATCGGATGCTGCAGGCCGCTTGGGGCATCTTTGGGCAGTGTTCTGAAACCCACCCGCAACCCCGCCAGGATGTTCAGACAAACCCGCCACATGTCGAGTTTCTCTTGGCAGGAGTCCATCCACTGATTCGGCATTTGCCTGGTTTGGGCACGGGATGCCTACTGGAGGCCTTGGGGAAAGAGAGATCTCTTTAGTCAGTCATCCCCTCAGTACACCTTCCTCCATCTTCCTCCCATTGCACTTGTTTGGTTGCTTTGAGTGATTTTGAGTGTGATGAAGGCACCTCCCACCATGCCACCACGTGGAAACGTGTGCAATGTTTGCGGGAAACCATGGGCTTGGTCCTTCTTCCTCCCAACTACCTGCCTGCTCTGGAACTCCAATTTTGTTTAGGCTTAAGGATGAATGAGGTCAGTACAAATCGAGCCAGGAAGAAGCAACGAAGGTTCAGCATGGTTCGGCAACAACCCTTCACAAAGACTCTTTAATGATTCTGCGTTCACTCTTAGATACTCTTAGTGAAACAAAGATGAGGTCATTGATGCAACGCGGGTGAACTCTCGCCTCTTGCGTTGGAACGGAGCCGTTGGAGTCATGTCCTTACAATCCTTCTCGGATGCCATGGGCTTGGCGATGATGCCGTGTTTGCTGAGGCCCCAGGACCAACCCGGCAGAAGGACGCATGGGACTTATGGGATATTATGGACCCCATGAGCTAGGACTTCAACTCCATGCTGGAGGTCGGTTTCAGGGACCAAGGTCTAAGCAAGTAGGGTCTCCCATGAGTCTCGTCTCGGTGTGTGACCATGAATCAGACTTGTCCGGGTGGACTCCTTGGCATGTGCCGTGGGATTTCGACATATTTTGGACCACTGGCTTTCCAAAGGGAGGGATCAATTACACAGTCCATCTACCAAGACCTTCCAAGAGGTGTCTATACATGGCCTTTTAGAGATGTTTCGGGGTATCCAAAAACCACCTGTTGGAAGGTCCTGGTATAAATGAACTTCAAGTGCATCGCTACTAGTAACAAGTGCCTTACTAGTAGTAACAAGAAGCTAGTAGTAACGAAAAGGTCCTAGTAGATTCCTTTGCTAGTAATTACAATTCTAATTTTACTAGTAGTAAGGCACTTGTTTTTAGTAGTTTCTTGTTACTACTAGTAAGGCACCTGTTACTACTAGCGTGGCACTCGTTCCTAGTAGCTAGTAACAAATTAGAATTAAAGAACTCCCCGGGTCGACTCTAAAAAAACCACCTGTTGGAAGGTCCTTATAGCTTCTTGTTACTACTAGTAAGGCACTTGTTACTAGTAGCGATGCACTTGTGACTAATAGCTTCTTGTTACTAAATGAACTTTCATGAACTCCCCGGGTCGACTCTGGGTGGACCATGTTCCCCCGCCACGTCCGGGGGGGCTCCCAGGTCCGACCAATGCCGTGCGGCTGCCTCGCAGATCGCGTCCGGAGCTCGTTCCCGGAGCTCGTTTGGGTGTTAGACATGTCATGTGAAACGGCTGACTGGATGAAGCATGATGAAACATGATGAAATCAGTCACTGGCAAAAGCAGGCTTCCTTTGGAAATCTGTTCAAGTTCTTGATCCCTAACTGCTGTTACAGTGGGTTGATTGACGTTGGACCCTCCAGATGGTCTTGAGACACGAAACACGACACCTTGGGCAGCGAGTTCCTGAGATTCAACCAGCACTCGCCGTCTGAGAGTTCAGTTCCTGTGAGGACTCCACTGGCGATCTCAGGAACCCAACGGGAGAGTTGTTTTCTCCGAGCCATTGAGGTCACAGAATGAGGATGTGATCCAAATCGATTTCAGTCGACTCAAGGCCAGTTTCTGTGCAGAGTTCATTCAACTAGTGCACAGCAAAAAAAACAGATCAAACTGTATGAAGGAGTGGGTGAGAATGCTATCCGTCCTTTTTGAGCCAGAACTGCATGGTAAGTAAATTCCTCAATCCAGAGCTTTGCCGTTGCTGTCCTCATCTGTCCTCCACACCTTGTCTTTGGGCTCTCAGCATCGGGTGTCGGCGTGGTCCTCGCACCCCACCAAACCCCGCGGAACCTTCCGCGTGGCCATGGCTCAGCCTGTGAGACCCGTGAGCATCAGCGCCCCGGTCACCATCTCCACGGGGGCGCCCGTGGTGGTCTCCAGCCCGGTGCCCTACGGCGTGGCGCCCGGCGCGCCCGGCGCGCCACAGGTCACGTACCGGGCGCCGGCGCCGGTGACCTACCCGGGCGGCTACGTGGGCGGCCCGGTGCCGCAGGGCCGGGTGATCCAGGCACCCCTCACCGGCGTGCCTGGAGCTCCGGTGGTGCAAAGCCGTATTGTGCGAACTTCACAGGCAAGAAGTAGAAACATGGGAGAGGGCAAGAAGCACTTGACAATGTTGGTTTGGGATGGTGGATGGTTTTGAGACATTTGGAGGACACTCTTCGATACTGTTCGATAGTTAGATTTCAGTTTCCAGAAACTCCTGCGCATTTGGATATGATCATGTCATCATGTTGGCCTTTTTTTTCAACTTATCGTTCTTCTTGTTTTTACTTATTTTCGGCCGCTGCTTCAGGCGACTCTACCACTCACCAAGACTACCACGGTGACCACACGGCCGAATACCGTCGGTGGCCCCGCGTACTCGCAGAGTGCCTATGAGACGAAACATGAAAAGGATGAACAACTCCAAAACTTGACACCTGGCGAATGGTGAACTCGGGTTGGAGGCCATCGATCGCTACTAGGTTGGAGGCCATTGCTATATTAATTGAATGCATTGACCTTGCCTGATGAGATGCTGTTGTTAGTTTCTTTGTTGATTTTCTTTTCTCATGGGGAGGAGGGCTTTGGGGCGGGTGTCAACAAGACACCAGGATGAACCAACAGAAACCGGCAACTATACATGTAATTAGACCTCCGATCATCTCAATGCATATCGTCAATCAAAATGGCTAGAGTTAGAGTTTTTCGCCACAAGCTTTCTTTTTGACACACTTGCTTGCACATCTCAGGAAGGAATTGAGAAAGACCTGTGGCTTGAAAGAGATCCCAGTGAACGATGGACTGCAGGCAGGGGATGTGTGTATCAGGGCAATCTCAACATCAAGCAACCTGCAGTCTTTTCTGTGGGTTAGTTTAAGACTCATAACATCCCTTAACAGTGTTGGTGATGTTGCCGCTCCTTTTTCAAAAAATACTGGGGGCTGGAAGTAGACTCCACGACGCAGCGCAGAGAAAGGAGCCAGAAACCACTCCACATGAGCATTCGGCATTCTCAACTTGAAGCGTGTCTATAGTTCTTTGTGTTTGTGGATAGGTTTTTGGAGCCTCCACATATGCCTGTCCACATCTCGAACACTTCCACCCGATGTTTGAACGATCAGCATTACATCATCAAACCAAGGGAACCTCATGGTTGGATCTTGCTCTGTGTGTGTGTAAGTGTGTGCGTGCGTGACACCTCAACAACCAAACTGCCTCGTTGCGAACGCTGTTCCAGGCATTCAAGAAGGGAGGAGCGTTGTCTGATGGTGAAGGGCATCTTGGCCATTTCCCAACATGTTCCACCCAGACGTTGTTGCAACAGACGGTGCGGGAACCGTGACGTTTTGGGGTCCAGGCGGAGTGCACAGGCTCATGTCACAGGCCCACGTCGCGAAGTAGGGAGGTGTCTCTCAATCTTTCAAGCTACCCCGAGGTTTATTCAACCAATGGGGTGTATATTGCTGGGAATCGTTTGGATCTCTTCAATGCGAGGTGTTGGGGCGTCGGGGTGGCCTGATTGCTCTTCTCGCTTTATGCCGCCTCCGCTGAAGAAGTCATGACCGTCTCCGCTGAAGGTTTAGTAAGTTGACCCGGGAGAAGTTCGTGGAAGTCTACAGCAGCTTGCTCCAAGAACACCAGGTGGGCTCCGAATTGATTGAGGACAGCATGATGCACCGAGAATCTGTTTCAAGATGCGCGAAGACCAAGAGGATTTCGGGGTGAGATGAGCACAGCAATTGACAGTGAAGTTTGCCCATGCTCGCTCAAGTTGATAGCTTCCGTCTTCTCCTACCTGTTTAAGGGGACCACTGAGGAGCATTTCATTTGAATCGCGGGCTCTGATCATCATATTTCTTTCTTATCTCGTTTTTCTTTATTCTATTTCCTCCGCGATGCCGCCTTCCTTGCAGGTGGAGGTGCCCTCGGATGAAGTGAAGAATGCCGTTTTTGACTTGTGCCTCGGTGAGCCCGGATGACGTCCTAACAGAGGGGGCGAGAAACCGCAGGTTGTGTAGTGGCCAAGTTTGGAAGGCCTTTGCCATCCTTTGCCCATTGGTTTTCTCAACGAGCTTTTGCTGGTTTCTCGCCATCGCTCGCCGGACTGCCCACTCAATCGGTTCTTTGAGGTTTGATCGCGATGACAACAATGTGGTCGTGCCACGGCTGTACTTGAACAGTAGCAGTAGAGGAGGAATGAAAGCTATGTGAAGCCTGTGTAGCTTTGTGTGGCTTTGTTCTCTCCCACTGTGGGAATGTCGGGGGGGATCGAGTTGCGCCTGCGTAGCACGAATGGAACCACCGACACCTGACAGGGACGACACATCTCCTCATCACGGCCTGTTCCTAGGGTCCCTACCACCCTTGCGTCACCCTTCTTCCTCCAACAGGCGCTCAAGGGTGTTGTTTTCTGAGGACATGATGGAGTTAGTGTGTGGAATCTCTCTGCTCTGCAAAGGGTCGGAGGCGGGACTGTCGGCTTTGAACACCTTGGAATGGCTAGCAGTGTGGATGGGGGCTTAATTAGTCTGGGAGTTGCTTCCAAACGCTAAGTAAACTATTTCTTCCAACGGGTCTTTTTGTCACTTGGCAGGACGACAAGATCCAGGCAGTCTTCAAAGTTTTCGATGAGAACGACGACGGTCGCCCGGCACAGCTTCCTGCGACTTGCGTGCCAGCTTCTTTTTTGTTTGGCAGTTTGGTGTGGGTGAAAAGCTGTTTGAAGCATGTTGAAGCTAAGCATAGCATAATATGTCCCAAAAAGCGTCCTGGCCAAGACAAGCTTTCTCCGCCAAGTCGAAGCTTGAGTTTTATTTTCGGAGAATGCAGTCGGCCTCTTCGCATGACATGGCTGACTGGGTCTTAGGGATGGCTTCGCTCAACCCTCGCTCACTAGCAGTCACCCATTTTCTGGACTCGCTCATCTTCGTCCATGTCGTGGCCAAAAGCGCCCGGGAAAAGCGCAGAGGCGTGCCGGCTCGCACCACGCTGAGGTTTCATCTCCATGGACGAGATGTACAAGTTCTTAACCTCGGTCTTTAAGGTCGTGCTGACACCCGCCCCCAGGCTGAACGCACAACGGATGTGCTTTGTGAGGTTTTTTTTTTCCGGAACGAATGGTGAAGCAAGTGCTGTAGAACTGTTGGCAACGGTTGGCTCTCTTGCTGCTGCTGAGGCTGTAATTGGTGCTATGAACAGCATGGGTGTCAACGTCGAGTCGGCGGAGGCTGTGTTCGCAGAGGTTGCATTGATCGTCATTTGATGTGCCATAGGGCCACAGGGCATCATAGATCATATAGGGCCACAGGGCAACCCAGCAAAATGAGGGAGGACCGGATTGTGAACTACACCCCGGGGCAATGTAATTTCCCCTGAGGAACCATAGGGCCACCTATGCCCCAAGACGTTACAAGTTGCTGAGCGCTAGTGACTTTGGTGAACAGCTCTGCCAAAAGCGATCCACAGAGACATTGGCTTGGCATGGCAACAGGCTTCTCTCCTTTAAGGGCCAGGGGCCAAGCTGATATCTTCCAAAGCTTCACCACTTCAATGAGCCAACGGTCTGTTTGCCAGGACTTGGCGTCGGTGACCTCCCTGGAATGCTTCAAGACGGCGGACTTGTGCCTTGGAGGTCCGGAAAAGGACCGAGAAGAGCTGGGAGTGGTTGAGAGCAGGTTGGAGAAACGTGTGGGGCATTGTGGAGCATGGATATGGGATGAGGTGGGCGTGGTGAAACGCTCCAAAGGGGCCGGATTTGGGGAGAAGCGTGTGCAGTCTTCCGTCAGGGTCAAGGATTTTTTTTGGTAGGGATCATAGATGGAGGTCATCTTGCTCAAGCCAGTGTGAAGATCATGGTGGCTGCCTGGACAAATGCCAGATGGGCAGATCATCCGTAGCTTTGATCTTGGGATGGCCCATCTTCACCATTTCTAGACTCCCAGACCCCACACCCAACTTCAGCCCAGCAGCTTCGAGGAAACCATGCATTTAGTGGTGATTCATTTGGCATCTTATGCTGAGGAATCATGATGGTCGGCTGTCAATTGACGAGTTGCGCTCTCAGACACGGCCCAAACGGGCAGTGATAGCATGGTCAGCTTGTCGCGGCACCTGTTTGACTCAGTTCCATTGGGTCAAGTTCTGGAACTTCGGTGTAGTTTGGGTAGTCTAGTGGGTGATGGGTGGAAATGCAATTGTCAAGCGATTTGTAATTAGTCTTATTGGGCTCAAAAAGCCCTGGAGAGGTGCTTCCCTCACGTCGTGTTTCTCTGAAAGCCGAGGTTCAAGTCGTGGTTTTACGGCCCGCGAAACGACCCTGCCTTCATGTTCTCGCCGGTGCGAAAGCTGCTGCAGTGAGCGGGCAGGTTTGAGAAATTAGGTGGTGTCCGGTGACCACGGTGATTTCTTGAAAGAGAGGTGACCACGCAGAGAAGCACACATAAAGACACTGGCACCACCTGGAAGGAGTTCTTGGGGCAGCGTCTTGAAACAAGGCCAGCCCACTGAACAACACCTTAAGACCTAAGTTCTAATCATGGGTCACTTGCTAACACTTTACAACAACAGCAGTGCACCTAATATAGACTCTTGAAAAATCACCCCCCCTCCTTGAAGAAGATGTTCAATTCAAATGGGGGGGGTGTATGGTCCTCAAGAGTTTACACAGTTTACATGATGTCATCTTATGTCAGTGTCATTTGGTGGTTTCGCGCACCCTCGCCGGTGGGGCAGACGCTCCGCGGACCGTGCGCGCGCATAGTTGGTCCGTGGACCTTGGTGGGATTCCTTGACCGAGGACGGTGCTAGCTGGGGGGGAAGGCAGCAGCCTGCAGTCGAAATCCTGCAGGAGTGAAACATAGTGTAAGAGCCTTTCATAGAAGATCGCCCAGGGGTCAAAGCGTGCGGTAGCCCCGGCTCAAGCAAGGAGAAAGGCTTCGTAGATTCGAGATGATTCGAGCAGCCGGTCGGGAATCCTGGAAGTGCTAGCATCACAGTCGAGAGTCGCGCACCGCGACGGAGACGTGACTAAAGCAGATTGACTTTTAGATGCTCAAGTTCAATGACATGATGTGACCGTATGTATGACCTTGACAATTTGTATTGCTTCATCCACTGTAGCAGCCTTGGGGGAAAAAAAAAGATACACCAAACAACTCAGATATGCCGAGATAGCAGGCATTTTGCAACCCGGTGTGATTTTTCGGTGGTGACATGGGCGATTGCCAACTACTGCCCATTATGAATCCCAGCCACCCGGGGGGGCCAACTTCCAGCAGAGAAGAGGCCTCTCGTGGCTGACCTGCCGTCGAACGGCACGTCGACTAGCGTCCAAAGTCGAACGTCGTCTGCACGCGCTGGACGAGTGCCTCGGACGTGAACACAGTGGAGCAAGGGGAAGTGCACAAGAAGCTGGGAACAAGGACGCTACTAGGAACAAGTGCATCGCTTCTAGTAACAAGTGCCTTACTAGTAGTAACAAGAAGCTACTAGGAGCAAAGGGCCTTGCTACTAGGAGCAAGGTCGCTACTAGGGGCTCCTGGGCCTTACTACTAGGGACAAGGACGGTACTAGGAACAAAGGGCATCGCTACGAACGGAGTGGTTACCAATGACTCACCATCATGGGATTCGTTGGATTTGATGGATCGTTCAGCCGCGTTTCCATCGGACTTCCCCGTGGGCTTCTGCCCGTTTTGCTCCACTGGACTCGCTGGTTGACCAGCGAGTGGTCCAAAGAGCGGCTCGCCCGTGATGACGTAAGCGCAGAGTCTGGAAAAAGCTGGTGAGACGCACAGGGTGAAAGACGGACGACACGCTTTTGACACAGGGCCTCCAACCTAGTAGCGGTGGCCTCCAACCAAAGAGCGATGGCCTCCAGACGGTGGTTGGTGCGATCCGGTTTGGATCAGTTGGACGGTGGTTTGTTTGACGCAATAGGTGCAGAGAGGGTCAGAGAGGCAGGCCTGCCCACGTGTCGGCGCTTGGGGCAAGGCGACTTGCATTCTTTATTTTCCAGGTGACGGCATTCGACGAGGAGGATACTGATGCAGCTCGGGCTGCCCGGAATGGGTTGGCGCAATCAATCGGCACAGGTGGCATCCTGATGTATGCATGTACCACCAGAGAGGATACTGTAGATCCCGATGTGATAGAGGTTGGTGAGGATTATATATTGTTTTCTGGGGTGCCTCCAGAAATTCAATATCATGAATCATAATTACTGCATCATATTTAGCTGAAAGTTCAGAGCTGCTCACTAGTTCGTTGGGCAGGGGTTTGGTGTTTCACAGGATCAGGGAGCAGACCTTGGACATCCTTGGACATACCTGGATCTCACTTGGTGCTGTGGCAACTGGGCTCAAGGGGCTAGGCTCCCCGTTTGGTCACAACCACCAGGCGCTGTTGCGTGGTCTGTGCGTGGTCTGTGCGTGGTCTGTGCGTGTGTTCGGGTGTGGCTGACGGGAGTTGCTGGGAAGCACTAGGAGTGCCCAGTTGCACAAGAATGCGCAGCCACAGGCTTGTTGAAGCTTATCTATAATTATTACTATTTATAGTTATGTCTAGTGTTATTCATGTTCATATATTCCAAGTATGTTTGCTTCTGAGAATCTTGTGATAGAAAAATGAAGTCCTTGATGATCTAAAGTCTATAATAGGCATCCCGATTGAATTCTTCGGCGCCTGTGATTCCTCCGCCCCGGCAGGGCGTTCGTGCGTTCGCGCCGGATGCAGCCACTGCCGGTGCCGCGGGTGGTGCGCCTGGCGCCGCTGGGGGCGAAATGGGTCCCAGAGGCGTGTGCTTTCAGCATGCAAGATTGGTGACCCAACGACACCGCACAGACGGGGACTGGAGTGCAGTGCCAAAAAAACATGGATGTAAGATATGTAAGGCCTCTAGTTCTGGTCTATTGGGATCTGACTTGTTCTTCACCGCCTGTTCGACCTCGAGGAGCCGACTTCGAGATCCAGCGCATCCCGGGCACCACAAGGCGCCTTGTTCGGGGCCTGGGGTGGCTGGTAGGCATTTCTAGGCTGAGTCGAAGACTTGGCCACACTCACCCAACAAAGAAGGAAATGGACATCGGTGCGTAGGTCTTGGAAGTTGCAGTTTCCAAGCAGATCTTTCATGGCCTAGGGCGTTTCTGGGGGCGTTTCTGGACGGAATTTGCAAGTTTCGTTACGGCCTCAGCCGCATTTGTGAGGCGTGCCTTCGTCTTCGAAGTGGTGATCCCTGCAACTAGCACAGCATTGGAGGAGAAAGGTAGTAGCTTCTAGCTACGAGGGATCTCCCAAGATCGTCCCCAGTTGGACTTTCACAACACTTCAGCATCGCTGAAACCCAAACCGGCATGAACTTACGTCGTGAACACCCAACGTAGCATCATGAACTTGCTGTGATTTAAGAGGTCTCGATGGCTAAGACCTGTAGATCCTTATGTCCTCATCCTCAATGTCATCTATGTCACTGACCGCCCGGCACACTCCCAAGTATGAACAGCCTTTTTTCGACACGTTTGAGTAGCCTGAGTGTCCTGAAAGTTTTGGATGGATCCCTTCAGGCTACGGCTTGGGTCAGATCTCATACTGTTCAAAGGTCAAGAACCAAGGACCAATGCTTTCATGATGCCTTCGTCCAGATCTTCCAGAGCTTTTCACGCTCAAAAGAACAAGAGCGTGGGATGTTGGGCAAAACAGTAGGCCCGGAGATGTCCAGGCCGATGTCGATCTCTCCCAGGCCTGGCCTGGCTGCCGTGGCCCTTGGACTCCGGAGCCACCTGGTGTGGATGGAGTGAGTGGAGGGGAAGCGAATTTCCACACGCAGAGGCATGGTAGCAACATGTCCACCCTCTCCATCCCTCTCCCACGGGCGCAACAATGGAAGGAGTGCTTCGACTGGCTACTCTCACCAAGTTCACACGCAGTTTCGAGAGCGAAGTCTGTTGAGTTGTCAAGACTCAAGATCAACAGATAAACCACCTGCCCAAAGATTGTGATCGTGGATGTTTGTTGGTGTTTTTGTGGGGCTTACTTTCATGGAGCCAATGGTTGTGGTAATGCAAGGCTTGTTTTGCGACACGGCTCAAACATGGGTGTCCACTAGGCCCAACTGTGTGTGTTAGAGGCGCTTACAGGACTTGTTGACTCAATTTGCGATTAAAATTGCATACATTTGCCGCCTTGATCTTGATGTGCCGTGTTTGCTAAGGAGTGGCCGTGCCCTGGCTTAAAGCTCCGACATTGGGCAAACATTTGAATCGAGGGAACTCCCCCTGCAGGGCTTGCATCACATGAGCCACGTTTTTTTTGCAAATGATTAGGTTTATACAAAAAGGGAACTGTTGAGAAGTCGCGGAGGCTGTTCTGCTTGGGGCGTAGGCGTCGTGTAAGCATTTTGCGTAGGTGGGTGTTGAAAGATTTGCGTAGGCAGTCTTGCGTAGGCACCCTTTTCATGAAAGCCTGAATTTTCTTATTTAGACTTCTTTAAAAGTTGTTCAAGGGTCTTGGGGAAAGATAATGTTGGCTTGTACTGTAGTTGTTTAACTTGACACTTGCTTGCAAATTCCAGTGGGGAAGGAAAATGAACATGAATTGTAACGACATGGCTACGGTGGATGTTTGAAGTTTGTTTGTCGAAGCTACGGGGGCACATTGGTTTTTGAGGTCAAAAGCTTGATCGTGCTTGGTCTGGCACACCAGCTCTTGAGCTGTTGAAAATACTTACTCTTCCATGCAGCTTCTTGCAGCAAAAGTGAATCTTTCGTTTTTCTAACATGAGTTGGCATCTTGTGACTGTCCGCAGCTTTGGGCGTCCCAAGGTGCGAAGCTCTGCTCGAGGCGTGCGCCTCAGCCACTGGGCACTCACCGCGGGGCGGGCGAACGCGCCCGACGCCGTGAACGCCGGCGAACGCGCGCGTGTTCTGATGGCTCTATGGGGCTGAGTGACCTGAGACAAGACCTGTGAAGGTGGGGGTGAGTTAGCTGGGCGCCATCCGTGTAAGGCAGAAAGCAACCGCAGGTTGAACTCCAAAGAAGCTGAGCATCCAACCGAGATCCTTGCACACTAGCTTCAACGAATTCCAATGAAGCAACCTCACCAGCTTTTTATGAAAAATCCACGAGTTGACACAACTTGCTGAGACTGCTAAGATGTTGTTGGGCATCAGACCCAGTCACTGCTTCCTGTTCTTTTTCCTTAGGAGCTCGCAACGACCCCTGGCTTGAGACGGTGAAGACCACGGAGCTCGAAGAAGCTTTGCACGTTCTGGGCTGCTTGGGCGATCGTGGAAGGGCTCAAGAAGATCATTGACCCATTCTCCATTCCCTCTCACTGACGCGAGTCCCTACCTGGTCAAGCGTTCGTCCCCACTTCCCCTTTCTAGCCCTTTGTGCCTCCGCGCTAGGCGAACGAGGCAGGGAAGAAAGTGGCACGAGGATGCATGAATTAAGATGATCATCCTGAATAATTGAATTCTGTTTGCTTTTGGAGTTCTGTTTTGTGTTTGGTGACCAGCTCCTCAGCTGTTTGGCCTAGGCTTCGACGATTTCCCCAAGATGCGAAACCGACAGCACTTGGCTCCTCGGATGAAGAACTGGGCTCCTGGTAGCTTCTTGTTACTAGTAGTAAGCATGCTCCTAGTAGCGATGCTAGGAGCCCCTAGTAGCGTCCTTGCTCCTAATAGTAAGGCCAGGAGCCCCTAGTAGCTTCTTGTTACTTTGCTTCACAACTTGAAACCAGGGGCAAGTGTCATGGCGCAACAAGTGTCATGCAGCCACAGCTTGGCATTTCATCACAGGTGTGGCAGCATGGGTTTGTTTTTGGACTCACCTTCCCACCTACATCCCCCTCACCGGGTCCTCATCATGGCCCTGTGGCCCTGTGGGCGTTTTTCGAGGCATCCTGGATTCAAAAGCTTCGGATCCCCTATGAGCTCGTTGAAGGCGCGGGCTGGGTTTGTTGGGATTCCCTTTTGTGCACCCGCAGGGGCATCAAGTCTGCCAAGTCCAGGTGGGATCAAAACACCATGGGTGAGGAATATACTGACACTGGTTCGCCCCACGCAAGTTTCGACAGGTCTAATGCAAAAGAGGAGTGCTAAAACATCTGCATGCCTGCACAATCGTCCCACAGGGATGACTCATTAGCGTTTTTGCCGAGGATGAGATGAACACCAGCAACAAAATGTCATGCATTTGTGTTTCATTGTGAGAGGACTTGGTGGAACCCTCGTTCTTCCCGAGCTTCCCCGAAGAGAAAACAAAGCAAAGTTTGATCCCGAGCCAGATTCTCGCCCGGCCTGAAATGGTTTGATATCTGTGCTTTTCCATAGTTGTCCATGAAAAGACAAACATAGTTAACAACGGCGCCGCACATCCTTCACAACAACTTGGGCTGTCCGATCCATGAATGGCCTTTTCACATTCTTTTGCCATTGGTTGGTTGGTTGGTTGAGGGGATACCCAAAATGTACAACCAATAAGTCAACTGTAAACTACATTAAACCATGGCACCAAATTGACCCGCTCTATTACTCCCAAGGTCAGACATCATGCGTCCGAACGGCCATGTATCGCCCCACTGCAGCTTCGTGGCCAGGAGCTTTGAAGGAAGTGAGGCGACAAAGGAAGGCGCGTGGTACCATCTTCGATTTCTTCATTGACTTCATTGTCCCACCAGGTAACGGGTACCGTGTCACAACATCTTTCCTGAACATCCCTTTCTCGCATCCATTGGCCATCCCTACCTATGATGCCCTTGGCTGCTGAATCGGAATGGGCGGCGCAGCGGTGGACGGGGAATCAGAATTGGTACGAGATGAGTCACGTCCCTCCGAATACACCCAAACATGTGCTGTGATCGTTTGATGTGTCTCTAGCCTCCGGACGCGGCCAAAGATCACAGGTTGGTCTTGGCCCTTGGCAAACATTTTTGCGCCGATGCTAAGTAAGTTGGCACCGCCTTGACGCTACTAGTAACCAGAAGCTACTAGGGGCTCCTGGCATCGCTACTAGGAGCAAGGACGCTACTAGGAGCTTTTACTGATCCAGGCC